GTCAAGAGGGTTTCTTCATCCCATCACTCCCTGTAAAATGCAGTGACAAATACTCAGACGCAACATAGATCTCTTTTGCCCTCTGTCAACGGCCTCAGAACTGACTCAGTGCACTCAGACTTTGGTGATAGGAGGTAGAGGAAGATCTCATCACTTATACTCAAGCTTTTAGTGGAATAAACAGGTGCCCATTCTAGCCAATTGATGCTGTCTTATTTAATTTGACACACTGAACAGGCATTATTCACTGATGAAAACGTTAAAAAGCAAGCCATAAAATATCTTTAAAGAAAGCAGAAATATGATGAACGACATATAATCATTGCATATTATATATTGCAGTATTGTCAACTGTCTTAGATGGCATACATATTGTCATATAGCAACCTGAAAAAGAAAAGACAATCACAGTCCAATAATGGGAGCATTAGACAAACAAATGGTTATATGGTAATGTCAGAGCTTCTCAAACTCATATGGAGAGTTTCACTTACTTCTTATGTAACATATTCTTCTCTGGGGAAAAAAAAAAGATAAAAGGTGTTTAGAAGGCCTTGCCCTTAATAAACTCATACTACTTCCTAATAACTGCCAGCCTGCCTTACAAATGCTTAAAAATCTGAACATTTAATATTCAGTTATGAATATACTTCATGAATGTGTGTAATGGCAGCGTAAGAAGAGGGCAGATATTAAATTTACTAACTTAAAGTTTCTAGACATAGAATTATTGCTTGTCCATATCTGAACATTGACACTATATTTGCCTTCCTCAAATTTCAATTATACTCTCTCTTCCAGTTTATATATCAAAAATTATGACGAGAGAGTGTGAGTAGATGAGACCCAAGGCAGGAAACAGGGTTGTAGGCAAATGGTTTATGTATTGAACAGAAATTCCTTATGCCCACCCTTCACAGACCATCTAAACAGTGCATAAAATGCTAGCAGCCAGGCACTCTCCACTTTGACAAGAAACCAACAGTTTATTCTAAGAAACTAAATGAGAAGATCTTGAGCTTTG